TATAGACTAGTTGTTGACAAAAGTTCACATAGTTGATTAGTATCATATATCTACCTGGTCGGTATTTATATATATATATATTAGAATAATTATATACTTACCTACAATTCCCTATATCTACCTGTATATAGTATATATATAGTGTCATACTAGTACATAGGATTGTAAATAAACATAGGCTGATTCAGGTCATGAACTGTCCAAAACAGGGTTGTCGATTCAGCAAAATTTGTTTGTCATGGCTGAATGCTTGGCCAAAATGTCTGGTTTTGATTGTGCCTGTGATAAACTCTATTTTATAAGCTTATTAATTTGAACTCATAAGTTTCTGCATAGCCTCAAAAACTATTCTTAAATATAACTAGTGTTCATGTTTGAGCACATCTTTTTGTACAATTTCCGCAGATATACTCAATTGCCCTCCACCACCTTGTATTTATTACCTACATATGTGCAAGAGAGAGAGAGAGAGATATATATATATATAGTATAATATCAATGATGTGTGAGACAGGTATTTCCTCTACCAGCCTTCAGGGCTAACCCATATAGATGAGATCATACAAGGTACACACCATGCTTAATCATAGCTTAAGAAATACTTGTGGGGGGGACTGTCTTATAGTCATGTGTGTCCAGTGAAACAGTGTGACCAAGATCTTCAGACTAGTGAGTTTCTGTGGATGTATATGTATCTATGTGTATAATTGTTACCTGTAAAAATCCTAGATATCATATTTTGACTTTAGACTGACTGGATGTTATTGTACGTGGATCTAATGTAAGATCAACCCAGTGACATAATTTTAGATCAGAAATATAGTTTACTGGATAATTAGTGTACCTTTGGGATTATAGTTGAATTTGGATATACTTATCCAATTTGGATATACTTGTCAAATTTGGATTATTGTCAAAGTTGGATATACTTGTCAAATTTGGATTATTGAATTAAAAGAAATACTTTTAATTGGTTATAGGTATGTAGACTATAAAAATTAACAGTTTTTATTTTGAAATATTTGTCAAATTTTAAATTTGGATTATTGTCGAATTAGATTTATTGTCAAATTTGGATAGCTCGCTGTCAAATTTAGATTGATTGCTGTCAAAAAGAATATATGTTATTGGTAATAGGTATGTTCATTTTTAAAATTGACATCTAAGTTTTATAATCAAGCTTAATACTGGATGATTGGGGCTAAGGAGAGAATAAACAAAAAGTTTTCTAGTTATCAAACTTCATTTTCCCACCCAAATATATACTTCTCAATATAAATTTTCATTTGAATGAAATATTTGAGATATTGTGATAAAATAAGTAAGTTATATTATAATAGAAGTAACAGGTTGTAGAACATTGACTTTATAACTATTATTTGACTCTAATATTACTTAGTTTGTAACCTACTTAGATAGCATTTCAAATTTTTTGAATATTTTGGCTTGATTTCAACAGATTTGATTTTCCTTTTAAAATGGAAAAAAGATGCTGAAAAGTTAAAAATAAAACTCTATTTCATTTTATTTCATTATTTGCTTGAAGCTGAATATTAAAACATACTTCCAATTGCATAATGTGCTGAAAAAAAATATAAAACTCCATTTCAGTTTGTTCCATTATCTGTGCCAATAATTGTCAGTATATGGATTATTGATTTGAGTTATTAACAGGTATTATCCAGGTGAGGTGAAGAGGTCAATGAATTAAGACTATTGTTATTATCAAGTGTTAATTGAACCAATTTGATCCTGAAGTCTATCTCATGTTTTGACAAGTGACACTGATAAATGGAAAGTGACAGTAGCTGTATTTATTTCAAATGGATAGTACCACATGTGGTATTCACTGCTTCTTGTAGACTGAATTCTGTGGCATTTAGAGGGTTGTGTTCTTTGCCACATGTGGTATGTATTCTGTGGTGTTGTCATGTCATATGTGGTGTTCTGTGGCATTAAGGGTTGCCCTTGTCATATGTGGTCTTCTGTGGCATGAAGGGTTGACCTTGTCATATGTGGTCTTCTGTGGCATTCAGGGTTGCCCTTGTCATATGTGGTCTTCTGTGGCATTCAGGAAGTTGCTGTCATGGCCACATGTGGTCAGGGAAGTGGTCATTACCATATGTGGACTGTGTTCCATTGCTGATGTCGTTTAAGGAAGACGTAACTATGAGGTGTTCAATGTTAAAAATTTGGTAATGTAATTCAAAATCTTGTCCATTCTTGTTCTTTATCTATACAGGCCCAACTTGTTTTATTTTTAAAAACACTATCGATAGGTGGTTAAATAGATATTAACTTATGCAGAGGCTTTATCAGTTGACTGCACCCTTATTGATAAACAAGTTGAGCCCTTGAGATGACTCATTTCTACCCCCTGTCAAGTTACCTAGGTCTAGTTCAAAATACCCTTATTTATCTTATTTATAACCCATCTCATTTTACTGTTTTATATCCAATTTTAGTAGAAAACAACTATTAAATTCATTCATTTATTCATTCATTCATTCATTAGGCTGTCTTTTCTTGCTTCATTCGATCTTTCATTCCTTCATTCATCCTTGTCCCATGAAACAGTTATGCTAATTTATATGTAATTCATTCCTACATTCATTCATTCGGTGGCCCTTTAAACTTTTTTTTTCCAATATCCCATAAAAGAGATAAGCTGTCATTGATAATGAAAAGTGTCATGGCTGACTAGTAGCTAGTAACATTCTATCATTTCATCTCCCTCTAGAAATTATTAGAGCGTAAAACATGTGAGAGTAAAATTTGAGTATTTATTGGTGTTAGAGTATATTGAGCTAAATAGAAATTCTTATAGACACACTAGCCTTAAAATGAGTTCCACATCCACAATTTTACCTTTCATTCACCTTACACAGGCAGACAATACCTTGAAGTTTGCAATGAGGGAAATTTTACCGGACTCATGGCAATATCCTTCCCAGTCCCAATTTCAATGTCCAGTAAAGTTTGAAGGATGTGGTCCCTGTGTTACTGGTCCATCTGTAATGCCTTGACAGAAGAAAAATTCTAACTTTGAAGGAGATAAAATAATTATGAGTTATTTTTCCTGTATTCTTTCAAAATATCTATTCTCTAAGAATTTATCTATGATGATTTTATACCAACTTTCTCCGAAAATGTGTTTTCCAGAAACGTTTCACTTTCAAACATTCCCATATCAAGTTGCTTGATTTTATTTGATTTTTTCTAGGGCAGGAAGTAATGTGTTGTTTTGTCATCCCCTGACATGTGGTTTTAAGATGACTTTGAAATTAAGTATTTCCCTAACAAGCCTTGGGTCATATAGATGACTGAACACGCATAATAACTGAATCACCACAAAGAATATTTATTTTTATTGACTTGTTATTGCATTGTTTTGACTCAATTTTGCATTGTTTTGACTTATTTTGCATTGTTTTGACTTACTTTCAAATTGTTTTGACTGAGTTTCATTATGTTTTGACTGAGTTTCATTATGTTTTGACTGAGTTTCATTATGCTTATATTCCGTTTGCAATTGTTTTGACTTATTTTGACATTATTTTGATTAAATTTCTTATTGTTATGATCTTTAATTGTTGTTTCACTTTCATTTTATTAAGAATTCATAATTTATTGGATGACTAAAACTGTTTCTATCTGTGAATTCCTGTAAGAAAATTGAATCATCTGTCCTGGTTTCTAAATTATAAATTGAATATAAAGATTCTATTAATTCCTACAAACTTATTGTCAATGGTACATTGTGAAAACTGAACAGGTTTTTATTATTTCAATTTTTAATTAATTGCATATGAACTAGAATCTAAAAGGTCATTTTAAAAAGTAATAGCTACATTATATTTGAATTATATTGATTAAAAATGGATTGATCAAAATTTTGAATTTTCAGTTTATGGGGCTAAATCCTCTTTAAACAAAATTCTCACTAAAAGATTTGATCTGTGGACATCAAAGTAAAAACATTGTAAATTATAGGGCTTGAACCTGCCATCATTTTTATGGGGTGACATTTTACTGGGCGTGGGATAGTTTAATTACTGGTTTTGATTAATGGGTTTTTGGCTAAAGGTCCAATAGTTATTGTCTTGTGGAAATATAAAGATGTTTTACACCCTATATATATGTAATTGAAGCTTTATGACTTTAAGTTATATCTAAAATTTATTATCTCAGCCAGTGTTTTCATAAAAAAGTTTCTTCCATGACCTAACACTCTACTGTGATGATTTGGATAATGTCATACAGTGTTCAATGAGGGAAATTTATTTATAAGAAAGTTATTTGATTTTTAACAGTCAAGGAATCTGATAGATGCACAGCTTGTAGCAGGCTACACTTTGGTGTTCTTTTCCTTATTGGTACCTCTGTCACTATCCTGTAGAAAAATTTCCCTCATTGCACACTGAATTAGTACAGATCAGTAGGATGTAAAACACTGAAACAGAACTGTATGAAATAATTGAAGCGTTTATAATGAATTGATTATTAAACAATGTAAATATTGATTAATTTCTAACATTATAATAATAACTATCGTTTGTGGAATTTCAACAATGTTAACTTTACTAGGCCGATATTGTTATTGGAAAAATCTGTCGATTGTAGCAAAATTTCTTGTTGGAATGTCGTTTCTTTAATGTTGGTCTTCAAGGATATGAAAGTATTGAGTCCAACTAGCTAACAATGTTAGTGCAACCTTTGATTGCAAATATACTTTCAGAGACAATTAAAAACAGGAAAAGAAAATGGCTCACTTCTAGCGATTTGTTAGCCGCTTTCAAAATATAAGTTTGCTCAAAGCTTTTAATACACCCCATGAAACCTAAAATCGATGCCCAAATGCAAAAAATAATGAATGCTTAAAGGAAGAACAAATTGCACTAGGTACATCAAGGCAGTTTTAAAGAGTCCACATAGCTAATAATGTATATTTATGTATTGTGTTTGATTATATTTCAGACCAGAAGATATAAAAAGTAAGAATGAGAGAAAAGATGAAGTTATTCAGGCAGAGTCTGATTATTTTCACCTTAGTGTTTGTGTCAGCTCAAAGCAGTAAGTGTTTCATTAAATACTTTCTGGAATATCCTGTTTTTTTACATCAAAAACAACTTTGAGAATTCTTTCAATGAGCTGATTATTTGGAACCTTACTCATCTGGAGTTGAGTTGACTGGAATTATCAGGATCTTGTCTTCCAGTAGATTCTTGGTTGGTCAAACCTCTTGGCATTCATCTTTCCCTGATGTTCCATTCCCAGTTTGGGTTAACTGTTATTATGATATGATGACCAACCATTTTGCTAGCTTGTTCTGAAGCTTTCAATTTCTGAATATTAATTTTTCAGGAGACAGTCCACCCAAAATAGATTTAAATGAGTTTTTTAAAAATCCCAGTCCACAGTATTTTGAAAGTAATGATGAAGTCATTCTAGCTTGTACAGCAGAAGGACACCCAACACCTACGTAAGTTAGATTTTTTTCCTGAAAATTTCATATCTTTTATCTGTATTCAGGGAACTTGTTTCTAGAGCTTAAAATGAAATCCGAAAAGTTTATGTATGGTGACAACTTGGATTCACAAAAGTTAATAGTTTTGGTTTGATGAAAATCTATTATGGCATAAACATCTTTTTTATGGGCCATTTTTTTTTTTTTGATTCGTCATCGAAATTTGATACTTTTGGTCTGAGCTGTGGTATTTTTTAACTCTCGTTGAGCCACAGATTGTCACCTGTAATCAATCTGGTAATACTTGATTTTTCTCTTGACAGGTATGAATGGTTTAGAGATGGTCAAAAAATTTCCAGCAATTATATTGATCAAGATCCGATCAGTGGAGATCTTAGAATTGCCAGCTTGACCAAGAGAGAGACAGGAGCCTTCAGATGTCATGCTTCCAACGATATCGGAGGCAAAAAAATTGTATCCTTGTCACCCATAATGGAGGTCAAACTTGCTTGTAAGTCAATTTGTAAATCTTTAACACTGTGCACTAAAAAGACTTCTGGACAAATTCAAAAAAAGTATACCACTAACTTGCTTTTGTGAGACTTTGCTCTCACCACTATCTGACACCACTATCTGACACCACTATCTGACACCACTATCCTGCACTATCCCTCATTGTGAAGTTCATTGCATTGCTAATATGTATTTGCTCCACCAAATCAGAAGATTTATATTAAACTCAGGTTAATTATTTATAGTTATTGATGGTTTTGACTCACCCCCTGATTCATTGGTTCCAAGAATAACAGCTGATGAAGGCCAGGCTGTCAAATTAACGTGTGATAATGCCCCCGACAGTGCCCCAGATGGTCAGTTTAAATGGTACAAACAAGATGAAAATGGTGGAGAGGTTGTTCAAGACGAGAGAATAGCTATTGACCAAGAAGGTGAGCTGCTCAATCACTTGTGTGTGGATGGGGAACCAAGTTCTTGTGGTTCCTGCCGCCAAATGTTTTGAAGAAAAATCCAGATGGACTGACTTGCTCCAAATAGGATTTTGAACAAATTGAAATGCTTTCCATTATTAATATTTCATTTCATTATGCTATTATTATATATATTATTATTAATATTTCATTTCATTATTTTGATTATTATTATATTAATATTTCATTTCATTATTTTGATTATTATTAATATTTCATTTCATTATGCTATTATTATTAATATTTCATTTCATTATGCTATTATTATTTATATTATTATTAATATTTCATTTCATTATTTATATTATTATTAATATTTCATTTCATTATTTATATTATTATTAATATTTCATTTCATAATTTATATTATTATTAATATTTTATTTCATTATGCTATTATTATTTATATTATTATTAATATTTCATTTCATTATTTATATTATTATTAATATTTCATTTCATAATTTATATTATTATTAATATTTCATTTCATTATGCTATTATTATTTATTATATTATAGGATCGTTACATTTCGCCTACGTAACGAAGAACGATGACTTGAATAATCAAGAATATAAATGTGCCATATCTAACCGACGATTGGACACAATCAAACTGGGTAGTCCCAAAATTTTAGAGGTTCAAAGAACAAGGCGTAAGTACCCGTTTCCTCACCCATTCGATATGTTTGTCTTCTGTAAACTTGGTCTATCTAGTCTCACTCATTGTGTTGTGTATTTTGAGCAAGTCCTATGTGTATTTTGAGCAATTCTTATGTGTATTTTTAGCCATTCCCAACTCGGAGCCAGTAGCTGTCTATGTTGGAACACCAGCACAAGGTATTGTGGCAGGCAGTGTAGACTTGGAATGTATTTTCAGTGGAAAGTAAGTAATATAACCTTTTCGCTTGTCTATTTTATTTATATTTACATCCCTGTGCTAGAAATAACATGGAAAGACCACAGAATAATACACAAATTTCCCACATTGTGCACAGCAAGAGTTAGATTTTAAATTTTATTTGAATTATTTTGTAGCCCTGTACCAGAAGTCACATGGACAGACAATGAACAGAAACCAGTCTTTACGGGCGGTCGATATGAATTTGTCAATGATCGTAAAATTTTACGAATCAACAAGTTGGAAGAACGTGACGAGGGAACATATACTTGTCGTGGAACAGGGTTTGCCGAGAAATTTGAAGAAAAACAAATTGCCTTGGATGTTACATGTAAGTATACAGAAGTTCTTTAAGTCAGCTTGGAAAGTTAGATGCACCAATGTGGTGTTGGTAAACTAATTTCTTTGTATTTCATGAGTATTTTACACTTATATTTCTCTTGTATTTCATGCGTATTTTACACTTATATTTCTTTGTATTTCATGAGTATTTTACACTTATATTTCTTTGTATTTCATCAGTATTTTACACTTATATTTCTTTGTATTTCATGCGTATTTTACACTTATATTTCTTTGTATTTCATGAGTATTTTACACTTATATTTCTTTGTATTTCATGAGTATTTTACACTTATATTTCTCTTGTATTTCATGAGTATTTTACACTTATATTTCTTTGTATTTCATCAGTATTTTACACTTATATTTCTTTGTATTTCATCAGTATATGTCATTTGTATTTCACAAGTATGTTACATTAATATTTCACTGGTATGTTACATTTGTATTTCACCAGTATGTTACATTAATATTTCACTGGTATGTTACATTTGTATTTCACCAGTATGTTTCATTTGTATTTCACCAGTATTTCAACAGTATGTCAATTTTTATTCCAGCGAAACCCATCTGGGTTCAAGGGTTAAAATCTCAGACACTTCCTGCAAATAGAGATGCTGTTTTTACCTGCAACGCTCGCTCAGCTAAAGGTGAGCCAGACCTGGCAGCACCAATATGGTTAGAAAACGGTGCCAACATTCCTGGAGATAAATGTAAGTTAACTTCTCAATTTGATTCTATTCAGTACCAATTTCACCTGTGCCAAAAAATGGGTATTTTAAGTGTTCAAAACCTTATGCCACTCTTAGTTTGGACTTTCCAGTCTGACTTCATATATTGATTCTCTGAGATGACCAGGGGAATAAATTAATGTACTTTATTTTGTAGTTGTTAGTAAGTATGAATATGCCGATGATCAAAAAACTTTGATCGTGAAAAATGTCCAGAAACCCAACGACGTGACATGTTTCCAATGTATTGTTAAAAATGATATTGGTGAGGTATTCGATGATGGATGTTTAGATGTAATAGGTAAGATTACTTCATTTTAAAGGGATACAGTCATCTAAATATTTACTTTACCTGTATCACTTTTCAGTATTAAAATCTAATGTCTGGTTCTCATGTAATTCAAAAGGTTATTCTGGAATCTCAGACTTTTGTCAACTCCAGGATGATATAAACATTATCATTGCAGGAGAACTAGACAGTATCTTAAAATGATTGTGCAAATAAATTTTTCAATTTTGGTTCAAGGGGAATAATTCTAAATTGTTGTACTCAAATGTGTACAATTTCAAACGTTATAAATTTTATTTCAGATCCAATTTTAATCACCTACCGACCACCAGCAGTCCAAGAAATCATTAAAGATCAAACTGTCAATCTGACAATTACTGCCACAACCGATCCCTCTATGACTCTACAATATAAATGGTACTTCAATAACGTGACCTATCTGGATGTACCTCCCTTTGTCACTTATGATCCTGTTACCATGGTTACTTTTATCGATACCACAGACTTGAGTGATGAAGACTACAGAAAGATCAACGGAACGTACATCCGTGAAGTTTTCCATAAATTTGAACGAGTGAACATTACTATGGAAGTCCTCCTGAAAGAAGTTGGAAGTAAGTAACTTTAAACCAGGTCTAAGTTCTAAAAAGTTCTGTGAGCCCTCATGGGTGACATTTTTTTAATTAGGAAAGTTCAATGAAAGTAATTGTCAAGCATTTAGGCAAAGAACATATCTAATGATATTAATTGCCAGTAAGTCCACATTAGTACCTATTTAACCAATTTATATTTGATATTTCAGTCGCTGGACCAGTAGCTGCTGCAGGAACAGATCTATGGTGGATAGCTTTAGTTATTGGTATCTTGTTGTTGGTTTGTGTTATTGCCATCATTTGTATTGTTTGTAGAAGAAAGGCTCAGGAAGGTGTTTATCCATGTAAGTCTTCATATGATTCACAACTCTATCATTGTGTCCAGATGTGATCAACTAGATTCACTTCTGGTCTAGCTGAAGGTCTAGTCACTAGGTTAATTACTAAAGCTGAACTTGACAGCATTATTCTGCTGCACTAGCATTGTTTTTTACATTGTATAACACATTGCCTGTGTTTGTTTGCCCAATCAAGAGTAGACAATGTGCACATAGCTAGGCCTAAAAAAATCTGACAAACATACCCAAATCTACAGAACGGACTTTCAAATGCCCCCACTTTCAAATCTTTTCCACTATTAAAGGTATTTTCTCCTATTATTTCAGTGGATAAGAAAGAGCGAGCCAATGATTGATCCTGAGATATCTAGAGCGTAAGTCTGAATTCAAGATTCATATAAGAAAGAAATAAAAACTAGAGCCATTGTAATTTCATTTCATTCCTCTTCATAAACTTTTTCTCTTTAATTTGGTTTAATTTCTATTCATTTCATTTTGTTTAATTTCTATTCATTTCATTTCATTTTGTTTAATTTTTATTCATTTCATTTCATTTGGTTTAATTTCTATTCATTTCATTTTGTTTAATTTCTATTCATTTCATTTCATTTTGTTTAATTTCTATTCATTTCATTTAATTTGGTTTAATTTCTATTCATTTCATTTCATTTTGTTTAATTTCTATTCATTTCATTTCATTTTGTTTAATTTCTATTCATTTCATTTCATTTTGTTTAATTTCTATTCATTTCATTTCATTTTGTTTAATTTCTATTCATTTCATTTCATTTCAGTGACTATGACGGGCCAGAGAAGAAAGGAGCTCCATTAAATTTCACTGAGGAGCCTTTAAGTTATGAGGATGACGACAGTTTAGGGGAATATGGTGAGGACGTGGGAAAATTTAATGAGGATGGCTCATTTATCGGCATTTACATGGACAAAAAACAGCCGCCACCAGTAGCACCAAAGCCTGGCAATGAAACTTCTATTTAAGACTTAGGAATGGAAAAAAGTAGAGTGCTATAGACAATAACAAAAAAATTTGAACCATGACGCTGCCTTGCTCAATGATTTATTGTGCATAGCTATGGTGCTTGGCAACTTATTGCAAATTGCACATGAAATGACAAAAATGTGCAATTGTTGCAAAGTTCTTGATTAATTGAGTCCAAACCTTGATGAGATTTTGGGCTGCATGAGTTATAATTCTAGATACCTGATTAATATGGCTCACAATATGCTATACGATTAAAATTTGCATTGTATAAAATGATGTTAACTGAAAAATCATTCCTAATTTGAGTTAAACTTTGAAGATTAAGATATAGATAAAATCTCATGCAAATTTTAATATAATTCGGATAAATTCATGGAAATTGAAATATTATGTGATGAAGTCTTATGCAAATTAAAAAACAAAGCCTGTCAAGTATTAACTGTTTATTTTTTGACGAAATCTATGATACGATACAACAACCTCAATTTTCGTGTGAATGAAATTTTTAACAGTGTGAATGAATTCTAGAGTTGTGAATTTCATCAATTTTTAAAAAAAATTCAGAATTGTCTAAAACTTAGTGTTGTGATTTCATTGAAGATTTTAACACTCTTCAGAATATTTTGATCTCATGGATCCATTTTCATGTAATTTGGCATCATCTCTGCGTACTCTTTGCACCATTTTGGCGCTTCAAAAATTTTACAAATAAATTGATTAAGAAATTGAAAATATCTTTAACTGATCTCAAATAAATCACGAAATTCAGTGAATAAAATTGTAAGTGATTCTGAATAATGAATGTGACTGAATAAACTGAATAAATGTGAATGTGAATAATATATTTTTCTATTAAAAATCACATTTGAATAATTCATTTTATTTCCATAAGTTGAGCTCATGCATTTATTAGGAGATTGACCTTTTTTCTCATATTACTGTTTTTACTGAAAGGAATAATTTTTATAGTTATATTCATATGGTGATGATTTATTTTTTTGGTTGTGACTTGAGTGTGAGTGAACTATCATACTTTGTCAAGTCATATTGGATCAGTGCTATTCATTTCCATTCATTTGTAGGCAATTATGTATATGTATGAATTCATTAGCAATAGGGATTTGCATTTTGATTTTAAGAAACATTTCCTTTTAGTAACATTATTCCAAAATAATTTTGAGCATTTCATATCCTAAATTATGTTTGAGAATTTCAAATTAGAGAATTTCATGTTCAGAATTAATTATTATCTTTTTTTTCAATTTTTCAGAAATAGTTATCTGATTAGAAAACATCCGTAATTAAGGTTGTATTTAATTGGCATTTGCAGTGACTTTTTTTATAGATGCTTTTATTAGTGCAGAAATTTGAAAAGAAAAATTCAAGCTTTAAAATTGCATTGAATTTTTTTTTTCAAATTTGCTTAGCATTTTTTTTTCAAAATATAATTTTCTTTTTTTGTTTTGAAAAAAAAAGAAGAAAAATTAGGTTAAAATATAGAAGATATATATATCATTGTTAGTTAAAAATAGATTTTTTGAAAACTTTATGAACATTTGTTGTAAATAAAATATTACATATACATGTAAATAAAATTCATCTTTTTTTTAATATGTGAACCTCCAAAATGGCTAATAAAATGCCCTCCGTGTATATATACATCAAAATTTATTTATTTTTTGTTTATTTTATATACACGTGCGAAAGGTGTTAGCCAAGGTGGTAAAATTTTTCATATTTATTCCTTATTTTATATTTTATGTTTTGATTGCTTAAAGATGATGTGCCAGATAGAAACGATGCTTGTTTTAAGGTTGTATCTCAGAAAGAATACAATGGGCTTATTTTATGTCATGGGATAGCTACTTTAAACTAGATTTTTCAGGCCACTGAAGCATCTTAAAATAATCAATTACATTTTTTCATTTCATTTTTATTTAGTTTCATTTGTGAAGTTCATAATCACATTCCATTTCATTATTTGATTTCTAACTGAAAACATTGCATTCTGGTGAGAGATAAATAACCAAGGTTATGGTGTGATTGGTTACAATGAGAGATGCTGATGACTGATTTGACTTGTCACAGAATTAAGAAACTTTCAGTGTAGTTTAATTGTTTGAGTTGCTTTTAAGAAGGCGCCATTGCAATCTTTGTACATTTCCAAGTACGATTAGTGAAGAATTTAAGCTTTTTTTTCTCTTTAACATTGTCTCTTATTATGGAGGAAAATTTGAATTATCATTCCATAAGTGTTTAGACTTTATCATTCCGAAAAAATAAGGCATAGTTTCATGCTTTATTTTTGAAAATAAACGAATGATCACTTAAAACTACATTCCTTGAAAGGAATTCAGAATTTCCAATATAAAGTTGGCAAAAATTCAAACAATTCAGTCCATTTCATGTTACCATTATTCATCACTCATTTATGTATATATTTAGCTTTTCATAGATGTTTTTTTTACATTGTAATATTGAAAATTTGGTCATCTTAAGTAAAGATATAATCCACAAAGTAATAACATTATAATTCAGTGTCAGTATATTTGATTATATGTCTGTTTACTTGATGAAATGTCAATATACTTGAAAAAATGTCAATTTACTTGAAGAAATGTAAATATACTTAAAAAAAATGTCAATTTACTTGAAGAAATGTAAATATACTTAAAAAAAATGTCAATTTACTTGATAATACTTGATGATATGTCAATCATACTTGATGATATGACAATCATACTTGATGATATGTCAATCATATTTGATTATATGTCAATCATACTTGATTATATGTCAGTCATACTTGATTATATGTCAATCATACTTGATTATATGTCAATTGATACAAATCATACTTGATGATATGTCAATCATACTTGATTATGATTATATCTCTCATCAGATTTGAATGTTTCAATGTAAAGAAAACTCTAGCCTTGCCACTAATTTAGCTTTCGGAGGGATCCTTTCACACGGAATATAAAATTTGATCTTTTTTATAATGTCCAGTTTCAGTTGACAATAAAAAATCTCCCTTCAAATGATTTTGTTTTTGTTCTCGTGGGAGACTACCTCCAATAAGTGGGGGAGGGTGGTGTTTAATGATTCGCAACTTTAATCGGGTTTGGATAGTCCTTTAAAGAATTGCACTTATTGCAAACGGCATTATGATGGATACCAGGTGCAGATGGGATAACTTAAAAATCGGGAGTTTTTAGAACGGAATTCTTTAAACAAACGTTTCGACGTTCTACATCTCTAATTTCAGTAGGAACATTGAAAAAAATAGGTCAGTTGTGTGAAGATCGCAGAGAGTTAAAGATGTTTTTTAGGCTCTGTTTAATTATTTCTATATGGCTCTGCAATTGATGTATTGAGCACCATTCTAACAGTGAAAATATTTTATTGTAAGTGCTCATTATAACAATTGCCGAATTGATATATCATTGTTATACCCCTAAATTACTGTAAATTATGCGGATTAATTTACTATTGCACGAGAGACAAGTTGGCGTTTAAAAGTCTTTCGTTTGGTGTTTATATCGAGCAGTGATTTGTACGGAATTTTCACCTGTGAGGCAGCCCGTATGCTCAGGTAGTGAATCGGTACCAAATGGCCTTATCCACATTTTCTTTCATTTAACGGTAAGTATTGATATATTGTGCATTTTAAATCGAATCTTGAGCAATGAAAACATGTCCTTATTGTGCATTTTATATATAACACACCTGAACAGCGGGAGTCTTTGATGTTTATCTTTATCTATTTTTAGTAACAAATATTACTATTGTCAAATCGTTGGTTTCAAGTGTAATTTGGACACGGTGACAGTAAGCACGGCACAATAAATTTGCTGTTTTGCTATTGCTTTCTCCTTTTAGGCATGGTTTCAATAACGATCTACTACTCTTGTGTTGTAGTTTTTCACCCAGATATTTGAGACAAAGATTGATAAAGGAAAGGTTATAAAGATAGGTGATATCAGCTAAGGGGACATGCTACGAATCAGATCTCTGGCGTTAATAGAACTTTCAGCGTTATTTGATTCATGTTATATAGTCTATACAAAATCCAAGCAAAAAATCAAGTGCAAAGGTAAGAAAATTAAGTTAGAAATATTATAAAATGTGAAAATTTCGAGAAATTTCAATAAAATGTGAAATTTCTCGAAATTTTCACATTTTTCTGAAATTTTCACATTTTTCCGGTACACCAAAACTGGATCAAATCAGTTGAATTATCGAAAACTGGATCAAACCGGTTCTGGTATATCAAAACTGGATCAAACCGAATCTGGTATGTTAAACTGGATCAAACCGGTTCTGGTAGACCAGTTTGAGATACCAGAACCGGATTGATATACCAGAATCGGTTTGATCCGATTTTGAGATACTAGAACAGGTTTGATCAAGTTTTGAGATACCAGAACCGGTTTGAAATACCAGAACCGGTTTGATCGGGTTTGAGATACCAGAACCGGTTTGAGAGACTTTATGATACCAGAACCGGTTTGATCTAGTTTCGGGATGCAAGAACCGCTTCGATCCGGTTTTGAGATACCAGAACCGGTTTAATCCGGTTTTGAGATACCAGAACCGGTTTGATCGAGGTTTGAGATACTAGAACCAGTTTAACATACCGGAATCGGCGTGACATTCCGGCACCGGTTTGACATTCAGAAACTGGGTTGACATTCCGGAATCGGTTTGACATTCCGAAATCGGTTTGACATTCCAGAATCGATTTGACATTCCGGACTTGGTTTGACAATCCGAAATTTTCACATTTTCTCAGAATTTTCACATTTGCTCAGAATTTTCACATTTTCTCAGAATTTTCACATTTTTCTTGAAATTTTCACATTTTTCATGAAATTTTCACATTTTTATGAAATTTTCACATTTTTATGAAATTTTCACATTTTTCTAAAATTTCCACATTTCTCTCGAAATTTTCACATTTTTATGAAATTTTCACATTTTTCTGAAATTTTCACATTTTTCTGAAATTTTCACATTTTTCTGAAATTTTCACATTTTCTCAGAATTTTCACATTTTCTCAGAATTTTCACATTTTTCTGAAATTTTCACATTTTTCTTGAAATTTTCACATTTTTCTCGAAATTTTCACATTTTCTCAGAATTTTCACATTTTTATGAAATTTTCATATTTTTCTGAAATTTTCACATTTTCTCAGAATTTTCATATTTTCTCGAAATTTTCACATTTTTCTGGAAATTTTCACATTTTTATGAAATTTTCCCATTTTTATGAAATTTTCACATTTTTCTTGAAATTTTCACATTTTTCTAGAAATTTTCACATTTTTATGAAAATTTCATATTTTTCTGAAATTTTCACATTTTTCTCGAAATTTTCACATTTTTTTGAAATTTTCACATTTTTCTGAAATTTTCACATTTTTCTTGAAATTTTCACATTTTTCTTGAAATTTTCACATTTTTATGAAATTTTCACATTTTTATGAAATTTTCACATTTTTATGAAATTTTCACATTTTTCTGAAATTTTCACATTTTTATGAAATTTTCACATTTTTCTCGAAATTTTCACATTTTTTTGAAATTTTCACATTTTTCTGAAATTTTCACATTTTTCTTGAAATTTTCACATTTTATGAAATTTTCATATTTTTCCGAAATTTTCACATTTTTCTGAAATTTTCACATTTTTCTCGAAATTTTCACATTTTTTTGAAATTTTCACATTTTTCTTGAAATTTTCACATTTTTATGAAATTTTCATATTTTTCCGAAATTTTCACATTTTTTCTGAAATTTTCAAATTTTTCTTGAAATTTTCACATTTTTATGAAATTTTCACATTTTTCTCGAAATTTTCACATTT